CTGTCTGTCTCTCTCTGTCTCTCTCTCTCTGTCTCTCTCTGTCTCTCTCTCTCTGTCTCTCTCTCTCTGTCTCTGTCTCTCTCTCTCTTTAAAAACATGTTTCTTATTTATTACTTTATTTCATTAAGAGGCAGGAAGTCACAATGCATTGTTCGTCGTCGATAGGACTTCTTTATGATTAGCGGCCATCTGGCATGATGTTCCTTCTTCTTTATCAAACATCTGTTGCCATCATGTCTCCTCCTTTTCTGTCTGTGTTACTCTCTAGTAAAACTTCTAATCTTCGCCACTCATAATATGACTCATTTATACTACAAGTGCCTAAAAAAAATTACTACTCTCACTAAAACTTCGTTAAAACAGACATGGTGAAGTTGGCAACAGAGCCTTGAAAACGATCAAATCAACCTATGTTCCAAAACTTTAGGCTTGGGAATAGAGTATTCCTGTAGTGCAGCCTGGTATAAACTGAGCTAACGGCTCGTCCGAAGATGTATCAGTTCTGTTTTCAAGTAGGCCTATAATATAGTGTATCAAATAATAGGGTTAAAAACAACATAGTTTAAATAAATTACACTCTTTATTTCCCGCAAACGCCCTTTGTTTTACAAAGGCAAACATACATTTACATACATAAACACATGATTATAAATACGTACTTAGATAAATACCTGAATAAATGCATACATAAATACATACACAAATACACAATGTTACACACAGAACAGTATACTTACTGTTACTAATAATTAAAGTGCCCTGGTGTGGTCTGTTTCTTCTTTCTTATCAAACATCTATCGTCTTTATCTCCCCTCCTTCTGTTTTATGTTTATTACTCTCTTGTAACACCTCTAATCTTCTGGCGCTCATATGACCTTATGCAGTTGTGAGCGCCGTAAAACCTCTTCTATAACTAAACTAAAAGTCTACTGCTCTTCATTTCCATTCCTCTTGTATCGTGAGACGTCGAGAGGTAGGGGTATGCAATTTTCGGGCGTATTAATACTTGTACCGTTAATCACAGTTGTATGTTGACCGAATTATTTATTGCAGGAGATGAGGCACATCGGCACACTTAGTCATTACCATCCTGTTATCACACTATATATATATATAATAGTATGAACATTGTGTCACTCCTAATTCAACCTCTTTTATATCCGATTAGATTCTCAATAAAAGAACCAAAAAGCAAAATCTAAGAGTAAATGTATCAAATATAGATCTAATCCTAATACAACCCCAGCAAACAAAAGAGCAGCAACTCAAACAGAATACAAACTCACAATAGTGGATACGATTAACAAAGAACTTTGCCGGTAGCTTTGGGACTAATTAATTACCTTTTCCTGCCTTGTCTTTTCAGCTTTGGTAAAAACATTGTTATAACTGACTTCCAGCCATTCCCCACAGATCAAATAAACACTACAGTTTACAGTGTAAGCTTTTGAGAACATCTAGTTTGAGAAACTGGGTAAATATTTTCAAGTGGTAAAGAAACTTCGGCGATTTGTGAATTTCTAGAGTGTTTTGTGGAAAAAACGAAACACATCTTCTCCGTGGTGTACTTGGCTGAAATTGACGTGGACAGCATAATGGCAGAGTTTGGATCTAATCACACAGTGACCTTGAAACAAATCAAGGATGACAGACC